GGAACCTCAGGCTCCTCTAACTCACCTGACACATACTTTTATAACACCCGTGTCTGAAACACAAGTGTACTGCATCTGTAAGAGTGAGAGTAGAATGTCTGATCCGATCTAAAGCCTGGGCGCTGACTTAGTGCCCCCCAGAGCTGAGCTGGAAGCCCTTCCCTCTGCACTCCCACTTTTGGTTCACCCTCATCACAGAACTAATCCAACTGCTTTGTGGCATTTACTTCTTTCCCTGATATCCTGGTATCACCAAGCACTCACACAAGGTCTGGCACAGAACAAGTACTCAGAAGCTCCTAGATGGACGGAGGAGGACGGGATGGAGGGAGAGAGGGAGAAAAGGGAAAAACATCTGGCCCAGGGGTTTACTGCCCTGGGAAACAATCTTATTCCTGCAAGGGGTTTCATCAGACACTCCCAGGATCTGTGGCGGTGTTCATGGGCACACCAGACTCCATTGCTCTGGGATTCCAAACATGTGGAACAAAACCTCAGTGACTAACAGCCACAGGCTGGAGAACACAGCTGTCAGAGTACAGCCACTTCCTCATTACCCTGGACCCCGATGAGCCCTCCGACATAAACAATTCTCATGGACATGCGGTAAGGAGTCAACAGGTAAACAGGTCGACAAAGAGGCAGCAAAGGCCGTCCCTTCACCACACAGGCCCTTCGTGGTCTATCATGTCAGAACGGAATTCTGACAGGAATGGAAAGGCGCATGGCCTGGAGGGCCGGAAGACCTGGGATTCACGCGCGCACTCCCTCCTGCATCCCCTCGTTCATAAAATACTCACTGTATACTTAACAAAATGTTAGCCTTTGTCTGAGGAAATAAGATACAGTAGTGAATCAAGGGAAAAAAACCTCTCCCAGGTGAAGTGTACAACTTATTTGGTAGATATAGATGAAAAAGTGAATATATAGTATGTCACATGGTGAGAAATTAGGTGAAAAATAAGACTGCAATGGGAGCCAGGGAGTATCAGAGGAAGGGACTGTCACTTTAAACAGGGTGGCCAGGGAAGGTTTCTCTGACAAGATGACCTAAGAAGATGAGGGGCAAGGCGAACATTCCTAGGAGAGGAGCACAGCAGCCAGGGAAAGGCCTGGACCTGAGTTTGCTGGGGATCAAAACCTGAAAGGTCGTTTCAACTCTCGATGTGCCCTTTACCCCCTGCTTCCTACCTGCCACCAAAGTTGCTCTGAACTGAACACCTGCATTTCCTAAACAACCATCCCTGTCTTCACCTGCACATAGTTCTTCCAGTCCTCCCATCTTCATCCTATCAGGAGCCTTCCTGGGCTTGTCACCCCCACTCCAGGTTCACCTGGGGGCCACAATTCTGAGCTTCCATAATAACCTACTTAATATCTTGTCCCTCCTGCACAGTGTATGGCTGTTACCATTGGCTACTTGCTCCCCTAGACTGAACACCCCATGGGCTGTGACCATGCCTTACTAATGTCTGTATTCCTGCCCCCAGCATGGTGCTTGGTGCATAACAGTCACTCACTAAATAGACAGTTGGTGAATGCATGTTGAGTTCCTTGAAGGCAAGGCCCAGATCTGATTCATCTCAGTAGCCCAGAAGGTAGCAGAGTGCCTGGCTCACAGAAGAGTCACCAAGTATGCCACATGAACTGGGGACTGCCCTGGTGCTGGTGTTTTATCCAGACAGCCAAGTCATCCTTGATTCCTGACCATGGAGATACAGGGCCAACCCAGATGTGGTCTTCTGAGGTATAGGCCAAGACTCAGACATGGATACGAAGCTTAAATATGTTATGGGATTTTTTCTTATTAGAATCTGCATTCATCTCTAACAAGCCTTTTAACAAGCTTATCCTTAAGCTTTTGTGCCCAGTAATAACTTGGTGACCGGGGCATGATTTTTCCAAGCTAATCATTTTACAAATCAAGACCTAACATGGAATAAGCTAACCATTTCACAAATCAAAACCTAAAATGAAAAAAAAGAAGAAAAACAAAACAAAACCTAAAATGGAGTGCCCTTCAAAGCCATGGAAGTTTCTAGATGGTGGCTGGTGCCGAAAGGCTGGAGTAGGGACGGCTGCTGCTCTCTGAGCTCCACGGTAATGTCAGTGTTAAGTTTGTTCCTGATGGCTTCCCCTCTTCTCTCAGCACTAAGGGTAGTTCAAACATCTTTCATAGCCATAGAGATTGAGAAATGAGACACCATCTAATTCCACTCTTGCATTTGACAAATGGCTAGAGTGGGGTCTGGAGAAGGAAAGTGGCAACAACTAGGCAAAACAGACAAGATTGTCTCCACTTTCAGATGAGCATCCCGAGGCTAGAAAGCAAAGAAGTCTACTCACAATTCCAGAGCCAGTAAGCGACCTGGCCAGGATCACGCAGGTCTGTCTTACCCTAAGGCAAAAGACATCAATACTTACACTCAACTGATTCAAATGTGATTCTGCCCAAGGCTCCAGAGAAGCTATGGATCACAGGCCACCTTAACAAAAGCATACCATACCCTGGAGGAGGCCGGAGTCTCCTCCCCTCAACTCTGATACTCCCTGAAGCTCCACAGAAATGCACTGGGGAGGGGATGGGAGTGGGAGTGGCCGTCTAGGGGCTTCTCTGACTGACTGCAGGATTTCCCACCAACCCTGACAGGCAGCAGTGGTGTTCTTCAAACTTGCTTCAGAAAGCTTTGCAAATTGGACATTCAAAGGGTTGAAATTTCTGTGTAATATCACATAAAAATGAGCCCTGGCAAAGAGCACCGTCCTCCTTCCTTCTTGGCCTAATAGCTTCAGAAGTTGTTTTAGGGCAAGATAACTTAGAGCTAAAAACTGAGCCCTGTGTTTATATGCTGTATACGTGGTTATCTGCAAGTTATGAATATTGAATGTGTGTATGTTTGCAAGAATTCCTAAGATTGTGTGGTGTGCGCATGGGTGTGGATGTAGGTAATGATATGCCTAGGAAGTAAAGAATTAAGGAGGCTCTTCTTTTTCTCCCTTCCTCCTTTCCTTCTTCCCTCCTTCCTTCCCTCCAGCAATAAAAAGGCACTATAAATTTTTTCCTCCGTCAGAGAGATGCAAATAAACATTCAAAGTCTACTCCTCACCCATTACCCCTGCAGAGATCTCCTGCTGTAATCATAGCTGGTAGGAGGTGATAGGGGCGTGGAAGTGAGAGGGGCATAGGATTTCACCCACTGAAGCAGATCTGAAGAAAGGGAATAAAATTAGGGTCAGGAGTTTATGGTCCTTAAGTTTATCTGGCAAGGTTTTTTTGTGTTTTTTGTAGTGCAGTACCATGAAAAGAATATGCAACGGTGCTGGACTGGTCCAGAGCAGCCTGCAGATACTTTTCATGCCCCTTCCAGGATGAAGGACTTTTATTACTTAACTTCTTAGATTAAGGTTTGTTTGTGTTAAACTGAAAACAGTGTAATCAAAACACATCTCATCAGGTTACTGAGAGAATTGAAGGGGTACAGTGTGAACTTGACACAATGCCTGGCCCAGAGGACAAAGTACTGGGTTCAAAACTATCAGGTATTTTCTCTTGGCATATGAAGAAAAAGAAGGCAGACGAAAGAAAAATTAAAAACACAGACCCACACTTCTCAAAGCACCTTTACCAAGCACTGAAATTACATTTGTAAAATTGTTTGCAGCCCTGTGTAAAAATATAAAAATGGAACAGGAAACTACACAGCTTTGTTAAATTAGCCTTTGTAGAGCAAAGCACACACCAAGACGACAACAACAAAAAGTGGAGGATGAAGAAAATGCTACATGAATAAGTAAAATCCACGACTGATGTTTTTAGAGTTCAGACCCACCTTTCAGCTCTGCATCCAAGGTAACAGGAAGCCCAGAGGCCTCCAGACTTGGAAAGGATTGGGGGATAAAACCAAAACAAAACCAAAAAATCTCTCTGCTATTTTTTTCAATTCCTAACTAATGTTTTTCAAATAAGCTGAAGTCAAAATGTTCTTTTCTGCAAACAGCTAATGCTCCTTTGAGCTATGTCTGACCTCTCAGCACCTTCTCGCTCTGAACTCCATCAAAGCAGTTGAAAGCAGGAAGTGCCTTGGCACATGGACTTCATTCGAGGGGAGAGGAAAAGCAGGGGGACCATATTTAACTGACAAAGAGAAACACCCCAGCAGCAGCCTGTGAGGCAGCTGGAGGGGAGCAGGGCCCTCCACCTGCACTGTCCCCAAGTCTCCAGGAAGTCAGAGAAGACGTGGCCTTGGCAAGGGCAACAGGAGCATTCAGATCTTGGCTCCACCCCCAGCTGAAAGACCTCCAACAGCCTGCTTAGCCTCTCTGGCCTTGGCCCCTGGACCTGAGCAACGGGGATAAGGACTTCATACTTCACCATATTCTTATGAGGTCACATGTACGCACGGATGCAGAAGTATTTGGTAAAGCTCAAAACTACTCTGTGTTGTCAGATAATGATGATCTTTAAAGCTTTTCCACTGGTAGGGTTGGAGGAGGACTGGCACAGGTCATGAACATTGCATGGAATTTGATCAGATGGCCTGGATTGAGCAGCAGTTCTGGTATCTATGTAAATCTTGGCAGTTCACTCGAATTCCCTGAGCCTTACTTAGTAATCTTTTCCCACAATAGAGATAATATTACTTATTAACATAAGGTTCTTGTAAGGAGCAACTGAGTTAATGGGTTTTCTGAAAACAGGGCTTGTTGCCATAAAATGTTATACAAGTGTCTTTATCACTGTGTAATTTCAAAATGGGTATGCAATCCTTATCAAGCCACCATGGTAAATATTATTTTTATTTGAAAAATGGGATAAGCCTGGAAAGTAAAACATTCTGCTAACACAGTGGCAGAGCTCAAAACAGAACCTAATTTTTCTAGCTAACCTTTTTTTCAAGGATTTCACAGTAAGTCTGTCCCTAACCATTTTAAGGGTACAGAAGGGAAATAAACTAGGGCTGGCCACTGGACTCCACTGGAATCAGAAGGTAGGTACTTACCACCAAATACAGCATGGTGAACATGGAGAAGGAGGCGTGGCCAGAGAAGAAGGACTTCCTGCAAGAGCAAGAAAGGGCGTGAAAGGGCCATATTCACATGGCTGATACACATGTGTCTGCCCGGCTTCCCTCCCTAGCCTGCAGCCTTGAGAGCAGCACTGTCATGTTTGCTTCTGCACCGGTGGTAGTGCTTGGAAGTACTGCCTGGAGGCTAGCAGGCACCATAAACACATGAATGAATGGACTAATCGATGCTGCCACGTAATTGCTTATTTACCCATCTGTCTCAATCACTGACTGCGAGTTCCTGGAGAACGGGGACTGCGCCTTATTCAGCCATCTCAGCCTGAGTCCAGCACTGAGCCGGGCACCCAGCAGATGCTTAGTAAGCCCTTACTGCACTACCCGCATCCACGGGGCATACACGCGCTGTAGCCATGGGAGGAAGTGTCACCTGGCTTCCTGGACTTTGCTGTCGTCACCTCTGCATTTGTAGTTCTGAATGTAGCCCTCAGAGCAGTTGATCTGGCTGAAATCAGGGTTGCAAACACTCAAGAAGTGAGGACGCAGGCGCCCTATGGACACTTTGGCGATGTCTGTGAAGGACTGGCTGATGGCACAGCCAAAGAGGAAGCAGCCCACTTGCTTATAGAGGGCTGCCACGTAGGGATTCTGCATTGTGGACCGGGACTTCTCCTTCAGGTAATAGATCCGGTAGAATTCCCCTGTGATGATCTGAAAGGAAACCGAGAGGGGAATTAGGTGCCATTGAGACTCATCATCAAAACTTAGGCTGTGCAAGATATTTAATGACATGAGACTATTCAGTATATTGTAACTGCAGGTTACAATCTAAAAAATCTCAATTTTCTATTTAAGAAGTACAGAGGCATAAATATGCATGAGAGGAAAGATCAAAGTGCTAACAAGGTCATATTTCCCTCTTTTAAAAAAGTCCTACATGGCCATTTAGTACTTTTGTAAACAAGAAAAATATGCAATCAAATATATTTACATGTAAATAGTTATACATAACAAATACAAAAATAGAACTTTAAAAATATATATATATATATATATTTTAACAAAAAGACAAATAAGGACTTAGCTATAGAAAAAAATTAGATGAAGAGTCAAGGACATGGTTAAGGGTGGCCAGGATGTCAGAAGATGGGAGAAAATCTTAGGATTCTGGGATTTGGGGTAAAGAATCACTAACAATTAATCTGCAAGGGCCTCGGCCTTGTGCCAACACTGAGCTGTGGTGGGGCTGTGTGTAGGAAAGGGTGAAGGTCCCCAAGACCAAGTCCTGGGTTTGAGTCAGTCTTTGTCTCCTCCCTGGTGACCGTCAGCAATGACCTTTCCAAGATGCAATTTCCTCCTCCATGAAAGGAGGTGATACACCTTTGAAGAGCTGTTGGCTTAAATGCGGTAACATGGATGGAAATGATCTGGGTCATAAAATTCTTTCGTTTTACTTTTTAGAAGTACGGTATAATGAAAAGAACACTGGTCTACAAAACAATGAACTTTTAATGCAATGGCCTCAGTGTTGTGAATTTCCAAATCTGCATTATCTTTCCTGATCCTGAGGGACAGAGAGCAAGTCTTGATTTTCCTACCTTTCCTCCATCTCATTGTGTCTACTCCTTAATGCTTAGAGGAGATTGATCAAAAACTTTCTGATTAGCTCCTACATACCAGGTACTGCTTTTACACACTTGTATTTCATGAAATCCTTACAACAACCATGAGTAGATATGGCTGAAGCACAGAGAGGGGAAACACCTTAGCCAAAACTGGTTTTCCATTAAGAACAGGGGCAGCTGCTTCGGTTAGATCATCTGCTAGGACGCCCATGCACCAGAGGGCCAATTCCGCTGCGGTGATGCACACCCCCACAGCCTGCTGCCCTTGTCTTAACTCTACGGCACAGCCCTGGCCACTTCCTGGCTGCAGCCATAGTCCAGGGACAGTTGTCACTCACCACGAGGTCCCTTTCACACTTCCTCACGGGGCAGGATGATGAGCTACACTTGCCCTTTCAGGGAACAGACAGCATGTTCACAACCACAAGGGAAGCAATAGAATGACACATCCGGGCACTCCTTCTCAAAGTCTCCTGCTACTCTTCTACAGCAGGAGAAGGCATCAAGGCATGGGGTCTGACCCAAGTCCTGTAGAACTCTCAAGTCTGGGGGCAGGATGGGTATGCAGGAAGGCAATGCCAGCTGGGCCCAGGGACAAGTAGGCCCAGTAGGGAGCAGAGCAACTGGCCCTGCTGACATTTTTATGGTGATTCTGTGCTTATAAAAATGGGTAGTATTTCTAATGGTTACACTTTGGTTTCCCAGATCAGAGTTAGTGAGTCTGATTCTACATTAGAGAGATGGTCAAAGGCCAGCTCAGTCCAATGACCTGGCTTGATCATTACCTGGGAAGCAGGACTATTATCAGATCCTCTGGAGGTATACAGAGACTTCTGGCTGAATGAATGAATGAATGAATGAAAGGAAGCAGGACAGTAGTCCCACAGTTGTTTTATTGCAAAATTGGAAATATCCTCTAAACATTACCAAGAGTCCTTTGATAACATGTTGTAGAGATTAAAATCTGGGAAGCACAGCAAGTCAGAAATGAGAGGGTCCATTATATATGGAAGAAACTGAGGTCCAAATTCATTCACATGTAAAGATTAGACCCAGGTGTTCTAACGCTCCATCCAGCATTCTTTCCTACCATTCAGGGTCTAATTCTCCTTTTGAACCTGTATATACTTTTACCCTATGTAACCTTCCAGGCTAACAAGTTCCAGATGTTTATTACCACCATCATGTTCTCTCTTTCTTACTCTTCTTTCTTTATAAATCATGCTCGTGTGACTTCAGACGGAGGCAGAAGAACACTAAACTAGGAGTCAAGGGCCAGGGTTCAAGTCCTTACTCACTGAATGAATTTAGGATGTCAGTTTCTCCACTTTGCAAAATGAGGGTGCTAGATCCCGTGATTTATTATTTCACAATTGCAATGACTTTTTCTCTCTACTCTTCCATGCTCCCTCTACCACAGGCCTCCTCACCAAGCAGGGAAAGGTAATAAGCAATAGCAGAGGAAAGGTACTTCCTCAGAGATGACCCCACAGGCAAGGAGCAGAACCAAGGCTCCATGCACAATCTCTACCTTTGGTTGCTTCTAAATTCCTTGAAGCTACAAATTAAGGAACTCTTTCTAAACTGGCTTGGCTTGAGGGTGATTTCCTGTTTGATCCTGATAAAGAGCATGAAGGTTTCCACTGTAGATTAGCATCTCTTACATGAATTTACTGATTCATCTCAGAGGAGTCACCTCTCTGCTGTCATCTTAGGGAGAAAGGGTCTGATTACAATTCATGGACTTCTTTCAGCTCGAACATCCCTTCACTGTAAAACTTCAGTTTTCTAGTGCCATGGTCGTACAAACAGTAAACTTCTAATTAAAATGCTTCCTCTTCTGGCAAGACAATGAGGTAAAGAGAACATTCCTGGTACCTCAAATTCCTAATAACAATGCTAATAATAGCAGCAATCACTTACATTTCTTTTGCACCTTACAGTTTCATTTATTCTGCAACTCTGAAGAAGATACACGCATTCTACAGATGGGTATGCTAAGGCACTGAGAAATAAGGACTTACCTGAACAATTTGAGGCCAGTAAGTGACAGAGTTAGGAGTACAGCCCCTATTCTGGTTCTCAATTTCAAAGACCCACAGCAGATTGAAGTCATTTTATTATAGCTCTTCCTTGACTTACAATGGGGTTGTATCCCAATAAACCATTATAAATAGAAAACATTGTGCTAGTAAAAAATGCATTTAATAGACCTCACCTACAGAACATCACAGCTTAGCCTGGCCTACCTTAAATGTGTTCAGAACACTTACATTAGCCTACAGTTGGGCAAAAATCACCTAACACAAAGCCTGTTTTAAAAATAAGGTGTTGAATAACTCATGTAACTGATTCAATACTGTGCTGAAAGCATGAGAACAGTTGTAAGTGTATCAGTTGTTTACCCTCGTGATCTCCCTGCTGCCTGGGAGCTGTAGCTCACTGCCGCTGCCCAGCGTCACAAGGGTATGGTACCACATATCGCCAGCCCGGGAAAAGATCTCAATTCAAAAGTCAAAGTGCAGTTCCTACTGAATGCATATTGCTTTTGCACCATCATAAAGTCAAAAAATCTTTAAGTTGAACTATTTTGTAAGTCAGGTGCCAGCTGTATTTCTATTGTTATTAAAAACAATTTCCATTATAGAATAGCAATTGCATATTCTCAAGGACAGGGCCAGCCTGAAGTCATTTAGCAGGCACATGACTCCAGGGCCACATGGCTTCTGGGGCAGCCCGGACAGATCTCGGAGTTAATGAGCAACAAATTATGTATTTTCTCTATCCCCCTGCACAGAGGGGTCGAGGAGTCGACAACACAGCCATAAATCATCATTATGAACCAGCCGGACTTGGCTTCTTGTAATCCTAACTCTTAAAAGACCATTTAATGAAATTCGGGCTGTGAAAGGCAGCCCAAATGCCTCACCTCTGCAGAAGAGGCAAAGGCTTAAATTGTTCTCCGACACGTTACACACCTAACTCCAGAGTTGCAGATTTACAGCTTTCGGACTTTATTCATTACTCCCAGTGTTTTTATTCCTGGGTAACAAAATAAGCTCTTCCCTCCTCTTCCCTCTCCCCCTGCAAAGAGCCCTCATTTCTGCTTCAGTCAGCAAGGTTATGATATGTAAATTTCACTGCTGAAGAAAAATGCCTTCCACGTTGATCACTTTCTTTAACAGAGAGCAACAGACTCTGGGGGTGATGGCAGGCTGCCAGGCAAGAAGAGAATTCTCCCCTACCTGCCTTTTAAAGCACTTGGCAAAGAATCTGGAAACTAATAAAGTGGGAAAGCATTGCAGTTAAGCTATGAGAGGACAGAAGCCGGTCGGTCAATCCTTGCCTGGGAGCAGCTGCAGTTTGGAGGGAGGTTGTCCCCAACTCTAACACATCTCCTCTTCCTGTCTTTTCTGGCATAAATGAGCACAAATTCCCACATATTCACAAAAACACTAAACTGTTCCAGGGAGGAAATATGGAGAAACATTAAGATAGACTTTCTGGAAAGGAGAGAGCACAGTGTGGTGAAAGACTCTACAGCCAGAAATACCTCAGTCTGAACCCACCTAAGGCAAGTGACTTTACCTCTCTGGGCTGAGGTCTCCTCATCTATAAAATAATATCAACAATATCTACCTGGTAAGCTACCAGGGGATTCAGCGTGATTTGTCAAGTGCCTGGCATCCAACAGAAAAACCCTCCCAAAGTATTTTTTGTCTCCTTCTCTTGCAGAAGGGGAAACAAATTAACAAATACTCTTTGAAAATATCTTTCCCAAGATACTTCCAAGAGCTCCTTGGAAAAGAACATTCCCAGCTGAAGAGTTTGGAAGTTCCACCCTTCCAGGGTAGAACCAAAAAATAAAAATACGTGTAGGGCTATGTTTGCCTTGCCCATTTTATCTAGGCTGCCTCTTTCAGGGGAACAAAGCAGAAGGGAAGTCTAAACCCCAAGGCAGCCAGGGCTGCCCCACTGTGTTGCTTATGTCATATGTAACATTCCACTTAAAAATTATCCCAAGGAAAGTAAGATTTTGAACATAGTGTCCCAACAATCCCTCTTCTAGAGACTGAGAACATCTTA